GTTTTCCTACTAAAATCATCAACGAAAGTAATAAAGTACTTACAACCTCCATGTGAGGGAACCTCCAACGAACACAGGTCTGAGTGAACAATCTCCAACTGTTTTGTAGCTCTCCTTGACTTGCCCACAGGGAAGGGATCTCTATGCTTCTTCCCAATCACACAAATCTCACATATACGATCAGGGACATTCACAACAGGTAAATCAGAAACAAGTTCCTTTCTCGCAAGATAGTTTAATCCAGAGAAATGAAAATGCCCAAACCGCATATGCCATAACCAATTATCATCACAAACTTCAGAATTAAAGCAATCAAGGAGAGTATGCTTAATTTTCAAAGGAAATAGTCGATTTTGGGACATATTTACCTTTGCAATCAAAACTCCTTTAGCATCTTCAATGGTACAACACCCCTGAGCAATATGTATCTTATATCCTTTTTCTAACAACTAACCCAAACTCAACAAATTTTGGTCTAGTTCAGGAACATAGAACACATCGGATATAAAATTGTGAGTACCATCCTTCAACTGAATAGAGATTTTACCTTTTCCCAAAATTAGCACCTTTGACTTATCGCCAAACGTTACTTCAGACCGGACTGATTCATCCAGTTCAGAAAACAATTCTTTCTTCCCACACATATGGTTACTACACCCAGTATCCATGAACCATATGTTCTTATCTGTAGAAAAACTATTGCTGGCAAAAAGTAAGGTTTCAGAACTCTCACCAGACTTTTCAGCAGTATTTTCAGCAATGTTTGCTTGATTTCCATGATTGTTGTCCTCATTATACCAACAATCTGCAATCTTGTGTCCATACTTGCCACAATTGTAGCAATGAAATAGAAATTTACCTTGTTTGGTATTACCTCCACCTCTTCCTTAGTTGTAGTTACCACGTCCTCCTCCTTGGTTGAAGTTACCACGACCTCTTCCACCAGAACCTCCTCTTCCACTTCCACGACCTCTACCAGATCCTCCACCTCTTTGATTAGTGCCAGTCACATTAAGGGTGACTTGACTCTTCAAAGCTTCTTCTGCTAGTGCTTCCGATTTTGACGCAATCCTGTCAATATGACTTTCTACCATACATTTCAGCTCTGCAATTGATAAGAGCTCGGTTTTGTGTGACTCTGTGATCGAAGCCACCACATGGTCATACTTCATCGGCATAGTTCGAAGAACTTTTTCAACCACTGCACCATCTTCAATCGTATCTCCATATAGCCTCATCTTATTCACCATATCAATAAGACGAGTGAAATACGCATCTACTGTTTCTGTAGAGGTCATCTCACAATTATCGTACAACCTTCTCAACGACTGCAACTTAGACTTCTGCGCCCGATCAACTCCTTTGTGTGACACCTTTAAGATGTCCCAAGCTTGTTTTGCTGTTTGAGCACGAGCTAATTGCCCAAGAATGGAATAATGAACACCTTGGTGAATTTGACCCAAGGCCAATTTATCTCGTCGTATAGCGGCTGCATCAGCTCCTTCGGTAGACCGGGATCAACAAAGCTCCAAAGATTTTGAGCTTGCAAATGTGTAGACATCATAATTTGCCAATAATTGTAATCGAGTTTCCCGTCCAATTTGGGACCCAACCATACAATATTGAAATTTGTTGCCATATTTCACTACGGGAAATATTTCGGGGTTGAAAGGTTGACTGGCTCTGTTACCAAATGTAAGATATATTAAATATAATATATATATATTATATATAATATATCTATGTATTTATATATAATAATATGTAAACAGGAATAGAGAGAGAAAGATTAGAATGAATAATGTTTATTCACTAGGATGATTTAACAAATGAAAATACACCACATATTTATACTAAGAGAAAGCTAATAAATAGGAAGCTAATGCTCCATGTACTACTCCTATAATCTAGGCATGTTCCACATTAACATACATGACTTACCCATGTTTGTTTTTATTAAATTCTTTGACTTGGTTTAATTACTAATAATATTAATAATAATATTATTATAACACATTCTAAATTTCTAATGTTTATTATTATTTTTTTTGTTCCTGCTACTATAACAAAGATGATTATATTAACAAATACAAGGCAGTGGTATTTTGTTAACTAATTGAAATTAAATTGAACATACATTACAAAAACTTAAATTTCGTGTAAATAAAACTATAACAGTTGGTGAAAATTTTACTAGTCATGTAATTAAGATGCTAATAGGAGCATGAAATTTTTCATGAACTTGATTACCAATCTAAACCTAGAGGCTAATTAACAGCTGTGTGGTCCATACTATCAAATAATGTAAATTCAGTACATAAATAATGTACTTTTAGTATATTAAAAATGTACATTGTATTTACAAAAAAGTACATTATTTGAGTATTAAAACTACATTAGTTTGTATAATGTATATTCAGTACATAAATAATATACTTTTAATATATTAAAAATGTATTTTTTGTTATGGTCCATATAGCATTGTGTAGACCATAGTCCACACAATAATTTGCCGACGAAGTCAGGCTAGGCCAAGAGAATTGAAGGACAATTTCAAAGGATGAAACTGGGAAAGACCCAAATACTAGGTGAATAATTATTGCTATGAGAAATAAGTATGCTGGAAGAAAACTACTTAACGTGTGAGGCCACCGGTACGGTCTTCCATATGCAACCAATGCAAACTAACCAAGTAGACGGGACAATTAATTAAGTCAAATGAAATTTAGGAAAATCAATTATATTCCTTCATTCTAATACTCAGAACTTGCTATGATATGATGTATGTACATTTATTGCTACCTATATATATAATTATTTATCAACATCTCATTAAGTTTTACCAAACTCACACTAAACTAAACTAACTACATTAAGAGAAGCTTTGTCCTTTTCAAATTTTCTTTCATTGTAAATCGCACTTTTAATCTCAAAAGTTATAAGGCATGTGCAATTCTTGTCCCAGGTTGAATCCCCAACTCAAAGGGCCCCACATTCCGACCCGACAGAGCATGAGAGTATGTAAATCACGGTGACTCAAAGGTTGGCATGTGCAATTCTTGCCCATAATGAACGTGGAGTTGCAATAGTATTTCTTAATTAGTCACCAAAGTCCGACTTACATCTTTTAGTGGAGATGAAATATGTCATTCAATTTAAGATCAAAATAATATATAGCCATACAAGGGTTATGAGTCTGAACATCCACGTCACCCGATTAAAAAGCAACTATATATGTCAACATGTTGTTTGGGGATTAAGACGAATTGACTCTCACATGTGAGCGACGTGTTGAATATATAATTTATAAATAATTAATGTATAATTCAACTATCAACTTAGAGTTTTAGTTAAAACTTGAAACAAAAGACTTCATTAAATCTTGCTACACATTGGAGATCGATGATTTTCATCATGGATGATTTGGTCAATTTTGAATGGAGAAAAAACATTTGTTAGGGTTAAGGTATTCATAATGTGAGAATTAGAATCCTTACTAGTTGAACTAAATACATGTGGTGAAATATGTATAAGTTTTTCAGTCTAAAATTTTTGGGTTTAGGTAGTGAAAAACTTAAACTTAGAAAAAGACACATCCAAAAGAATGTTAGTCCGGTCTCACTGCGATTAATTGTATGTAGCTGAATTTTAATTAAGTTGCAAGGAATCAATTTATTTAGGGAAAATGGTCAAATAGGCCCTCAAACTTTAACTTAAAAGTCAATTGGGTCCTTAAACTTTTTAAAGGTGAAATTACACCCATCAACAATTCATTTAGGTGCAATGAAGCCCAAAAACAAGTTAATGACCTGCTATCACAGGTCATTAGGTTCAGGCCACCTTCTGACGAAATTTTCGGCAAACAAAAAAGTGACAGACAAAATTTCCGGCGAAAAAATGACCGCCGGCGACCGTTCATCAGTCGCCGGTCACTTCTTTTTTTTTTGCCGAAAATTTATCCGGTCACTTTTTTTTGCCGAAAGATGGCATGAACTCTAATGACCTGTGATAGCAGGTCATTAATTTGTTTTTGGGCTTCATTGCACCTAAATGAATTATTGATGGGTGTAATTGCACCTTTAAAATGTTTAGGGGTCTAATTGACTTTTAAGCTAAAGTTCGATGGCCTATTTGACCATTTTCCCATTTATTTATTATATTCTAAACCCATAATGTGTGAATGAGACTTCGGATGTCCCTTTTGAATTAATTGTCTGGAATTTTTTTTTTTCTTTTTTGAGTATTATTGACTCTGTTACATTGCAGTATCTGTCTCCACTAAGGCTCGAACTTACAACCTCCCATATAAGAATATAACTTTGTGTTACTGGACCACAAGATCCTTGACAATTGTCTGAAAATATAATTCAACCAAAAAAAATCATTCATTTAGTACTGTACTGACACTGACTCTGTTACAATATAGTATTTGTCTATCTATATACATACTTTCTCAACCTACTAAAGCACAAAAAGTCGAACATGTGACCTCCCATTTAGAAGAGCCACAGTTATGTCGCTCGATCACAAGGTCTTTGACACAAAAGTCTAACTCTAGTCTAGGTCTTTGCCTCCTCCCTCATCACCATATAATTTCACAATTTCACGGTCACTCAAGTCTACCAAGCTGGAGTAAGAAAAAAAATGGAAAATCGCAAGGTCACAAGTCTAAATGGAAGGCGATAATTGGTAACTAAATACTCGTGGTTACCAATTTATGGACATCTAATGGATAGAAGTCACATCAAGAGAGAAAATTTAAGAGGAAAAAAAAAGCATTTTTCATTTTTTTAAAATGGGACTTTATATCCCTTAGGATAATAATTAAACATTGATATTTTAATGTCAAATATATATATATATATATATATATATATATATATATATATATATATATATATATATATACATTGGTTGTTCAATAAATCGCAAATGAAAACTGACACCCAAAGAAAAACAATGGTCGAACTCATTCGGATAAAAGAAATATTACTTTTCACTTTTCAAATAAAGGATAATACCTTAATTTTAAAAGAAGAACTATTACATTTCAATTGTAAATTAAATAGTTGTTAAAATGAAAAACATAATGCATTTAGAATAAGACGTATCACTTTTTAGTACAAGGAAATACTCTTGAAATGACAAAATTTAAAGCAAACTTAGCTTATCACTTTTAAAAACTAAAATCCAAGTTTTAGTTGACCTCTGATCTGATCACACTGTTGCTAAATAGCTCCGCTGATTGCATTAGCCGCTATTCCAAGTCCGAGGCCTCCTACTATCTGCCCAGCTAGTTTCCCAAAGGGGCCAAAGGTAGACGTCTTGTGTGGAGATGTCTGAGGTGCAGTGCCGGCCGGTGGGTAATAATATGCGTGTGGTGAGGGGTATTGATGATACGGCGGTGGCGGGTGGTGGTGCACAGCCGCCGGTGGCGGAGGATAATATCCCGGCGGCGAAGGATACTGATGCAGCATTGCGGGTTGTTGATAATATGCGGGTGGCGGCGGAGGGTATTGATGATACGGCGGTGGTGGTGGCGGTGGCGGTGGCGGTGGGTGATAATATCCGGGCGGCGGATGCTGTGGAGGCGGTGGGTTATAATATCCAAATTGATGAGGTTGCTGCGGCGGCGGATAGATATACCCTTCCATTTTGAGCTTGAGCGGTGAATTGCAGAACTAAAGAAGACTGATACTTAGCTTCTTGTGCCCTGGGTTTATATTTATAGTGTGAAGAAATGATAGTAATGTTTAATTTGTAGGTGTGGAATGATTCAACGCAATGGGACTTGAGAGTTGAGATCATATATAAAACTCACCATTTTTATTTAGCTATTGTACCTTCCATCAAATTACTCTTACTATTCATAGACAGAAACGTAACTAACGTCTTCAATTCCACGCGCATTCAAAAGAAGTAAAAGGAAAAATGTATTTTTAGTCTCTTAATTGTTCCTTGTTAGTAGGGTGAAAACAGGCCAAGCCAAGCCGATTTTTAGAAAACTAGACCTGTGGGCCTGTTACGAAAATCTAAAGGCTAGGCCTGAGCTTGTATGTAGGCTTTTTGTTAGGTTCAAGCCTGAGCCTACAGTTGGCATGGTCTGACCTGAAGCCTTTTTAAAAGTCCTATTTAATATTTAGGCCATTAAAAAGGCTTCAAAGTAAATCCTATTTGAGCCTATTTAAAGCCTATATGTTAAAACTTTTTTAAAACTTTAATAAGTATATATCTAAATAATTTAAGAAATATACCTAATACAAAACTAATACATAAGTACATACACACAATGCAAATATAATAGCATTAAATATAAAATAAAATAAAATAAAACAAGTCACGGCTACAACATGCGCGTTAACATGTTTAGAAATAAATTCAATTGTATTATTGTTTGTTATCCTATATGGTCTCACAAATAATTAGCAATCAAATCACATAATTAAGTTGCGACATTTTATGAAATATTATGACAATAAGAACAGTTAATAAAAGAATTAAACAATAAAAACACTTACATCAGGATTAACAACAATATTTATAGTTGAATCATAATTTAGAATGAAAATTTGGAGGTGGATAGTTAGAGTTTGGTAATTATATTTGAGGTTATATTGTAAATAAATAAATAAATAAATTATATATATATATATATATATATATATATATATATATATATATATATATATATATATATATATATATATATATATATATATATATATATATAGGCCAGGCCTGTAGGCCTGAAGGCCGAGCTTGGTAAATATAGGCCTGGCCTGTATAGTTTAATAGGCTTTCGAAATTGGCTCAAGCCCGGCCTTTTTACTAAACGAGCTAGGCCTAGATAGGCCTTAATTAGGCCCGGACGTAGGCCCCTACAAGGGGCCTGGCCTATTCCCACCCCTACTTGTTTGTGATTTTAGGCGATAATCTTTTTACTGTTGTGATATATACATGCCTAACTCTTCAAAAAAGCAACAAAACTATTAAACTATTAACATTTTATTTAGTACATAGTTTTAGTACTTTTTAATGTTTTTCTTTAATTATATAATCTTGTTTAGTCTCGATATTTCATTTGTAAAATAAGAAAATATGATTTTAACAAGGCCATGTAAGAAAAATATAGTCACAATCTGCCACAATTGAAAATGGAAAATTTAGTGAAAAATGTTGTCAAATTTCTATTTTGCAGATGAAATACGAAAAAACTGACAATGTTATAAAGAACAAAGATAATAAAATTTTTAAATATCCATGAACTAAGTAAAATTTTAATAGAGTTTAATAGTTTGGTTGCTCTAGATTTTAAAAATGCACCTTTAATTTTTTGAAAAGTTAGAGGTATATATGACATAGTAAAAAGTTAAGGACTAAAATCACTAATAACAAATAATTGAGGGATTAAAATTGCATTTTTCTCAAAATGAAACATGTACATACAACTCCTTGATTTTATTTTTATTACTTACATCATTATGTTATTCAACTATTATGAGACTAATTCTCATCTCATAATGCACACAAAGTTAACTAGCTTAGTTTGATTATTCTTCTAAAAATTCACCACTATGACCAGTTGAGCTGCTCATACGGGCAACTTAATTTGATTCTTACTCGAGTGAAGGCATGTTAAGAAATTAAGTTCGTTCTAATTATATCATGATCAAATTGGTCATACTAGCTTTCTCACCATGTCATAATTAATACTTTCTCCTTCATTTGTATTAAAGCATGCAATTTATCTCTTCCGTGTTGTAATGTTGTTTGTGCCCGTTGGCCTTTAGCTCCTAACCGGTGAGTTGTAGCGTTTGTATCAATAATATAAAAGATAAAAGTAAAATATAGAACAAGAGATATGGGTGAAAGAGGAGTAAAGATTCCATTATACCAACTCATCATTTGAGTACAAGGAAGATATATATATAATACATTTGTAACGGAAAGCAGTAAATGATAGATATAAATATGAGCGTTACAACTGTTACAAAAGCTACTCATAATGTCCACATTATTAATAAATACTTTATAACACTCTCCCTTGGACATTATGTATCCATGACCTTGCCTCGTTAAAAACTTGCTAGGAAAACCCTGTGGGAAAAACCTAGACAAGAAAATAGTACAAGGTATATAGATGGTATATTTGAATACATTCATGCCTCGTTAAAAACTTCACTAGGAAAACCATGTGGGAAAAACCTAGTTGAAGAAAAGAGTACATGATATTTGCAGAATCATATATGGTACGGGTTGCCTCATTAAAAACCATAACTTAAGAAAACCCTGTGGGAAAAACTTAGTTAAGGGAAAAAGAGTACAACCGTAAGCCTTCAAGGCATAATCTTCAGGATTTCGGGGTTCGTCTATTTAAGTATTTATATATTTGCAACACCCCAATTGACATTACTATATCATACTCGTGCCTCGTTAAAAACCACACTAGAAAAACCCATTGGGAAAAACCTAGTGAGGAAAAGAGTACATGGTATGTATATGCTACAAAAATTATAATTATTAGTCCTTTTAAGATCCAATCTACAGGATTGATTCGAGTGAATATACACGCTGCAAAAAGTGCAACTATTAGTCCTTTTAAGACCCAATCTACAGGATTGATCAATCTACAAGATTGACTCGAGTGAATGTACTTCTCGTCTCCCCCTGAAGATAACAATCTTCAAATTCTACATTGTTTAAAGTAAAATCATTGTTTCAAAAGAGAAGGGATATGGTACAATCTTCAGGATTGTCATTAGAATTTATCAAGGGATGTGGTACAATCTTCAGGATTGTCATTAGATTTTATCATATTTTCTCATGATCATCTGGACCAATAAAAATTATTTATAGTTTATATTTTGTTGCTCCCCCTAAATATAATAATTTTCTTTACCCACGCATATCAATCTCATAGATATTCTGTAGGTATACATTTGCTAACTTGTCACTAGAGCAAATCTTCTTGACAAATATTTTATCACTCTTCTGGAGTTTATATCATGAAAACTATATACGTTTATTTGTCCAAGTATGATGACTTCATGTCAAAAAAGACATCAATATGAATATTTGTACCTTGATTTGCTATTCTTGATCTCATCTCATAATTTAACAATCTCTATAACAAAGCGAGAGCATAGTAGATGAGATGAAAATGTACAAAGTACATCTATAAGAACAAGTAATGATTGATTTATAATATATCAGTCCAAGTCATGACATTTAACACAATGCCAATATTCAAATGACTTCTCGAAAGACGTATTTTATACCCTAAGGATATTAATTGACATCATTTCCTTTTCTTTCTAGGAGAATCACCAAATCACTCTTTATAAATTACAAAAATAATATGTGAATTTGGGAACTATCTATCTCAAAGAAAAGGTATTAAAAAAAATGATGTTTTGAAGCAGCGGACTTCTGGTCCTGAATTATCCTTTTAGGTTAAAATGGTCCTTTATCTACTTCGGGAGATTATTTAGACATTAGTATATGAAATTCCTTTTAAGGAAATGCTCGATCTACAGGTCGAGATAATACTTGATTTTCCATCTCCTTTATTTTTACAATAAGCCCCTTAATAAGTACCTAATGGTACATATTTATTTCTATAATTTCCTTATTTTAGGAGGAAATTACTCAATCAATTGCTTCACTATTTTAAGGTTGAGTAAAGCAATTGTACTTCAACAACAAACGTGTTGTGATATTTACTCTCTATCATTTTTGAGAATTATAAATCCATCAAGGATTTTCATATAAACATGTACATTAGTGTCTAATGACCCATAATTTCTAGGTCATGATTTTAATAAATTGCATATCTAAATTTATTATTCTGCCAATTATGTAGCGGAACTTTTGATGATATTCATCATGGGAGAGTATACTTGATTATGGGTTTCTGCATGAACCCTTAGGCTTCAGACTCGCTTTATATCTCACCACCTTGTCATTCTTGTTTTTCCTTTATACAAACACCATTTGTAACCTACAGGGTTAATACTTCAATGGTGTATAAAAGGAATATATTAGCGAGTTGAGCTATATATGCCTTTAATTGCTCTCTTTATACGTTAATCAATCTAGGCGCTTCTGGCACCTAACTCTGGATCCAGATTGTCATATAATATGAGCAATTTTGAAGGCAACTGTGTTGTCGACAACTTATAATATTTTCAAGAATTTCTCCCATATATATCTAAAAGTAATTTTCAAAGTTAACCAGATTATAGTCATTTCCCAAGGATATTTATATCTGGTTGTTCCGCAACCCAGTATTATGAATATTTGGTGCACCTTATAAATTTCTGGGTTTTCTCGTCTTCTGGACGATCGTTATAAAGATATAACTTTTTTAAGATTTTCAAGAGCTCTAAGATTTTCAAGAGTGACATCAATTCTTTATTTTTCTATGTGCCGCACTTCTGGCGTCAAGGAGTATCGATAGATATTTATGGTCCAAATTTTGGGGAATGTATATGGAACCTAGTCACTCTTTTTATGAAATAGATTTATTTGGCAGATATGTTTGATTTCTTGATTTCTTTCTGAACTTCCAGTTCAGTCTAATTGATACGTGGATTTAATTTTTGAAGATCATTTCATGAAATTTCTCGGCATTTCATTTTAATTTTGATCATATCTCCCCCTAATGTCGTGAACTGATCTTCATGCAGTCAGCGTATCCATCACGTCTCTCTTAGGGGCTTTAAATATTGGAGACAATAGATTG